AGAGTATACGTTGCCCAGGGTGCACCACGAGGAGGTAAGTTTATCTCACACCCTGAGTTTTGTTGGTTAGGCATCGTTAAAACGAAAGCATTTCTATTTCTTAAGGAAGTCAAGTGGTCGTGTAAATCAGATTAGTCCAAGAACTGTCTAGTCGATATTGGTTTTTCCCTATCCTGTATTATTTATTACGTTCATATATAAGCAGTTTGATTGATAGATTACTAACTTGAGAATATTTTTTTTTCAATTTCTAAAAAGCCGTCTTTTCGCTTTTATTTGATTCATTTTGATTGTTTAGATATTAAATTATCAAATTACTACTGTCTTGAATCCTTATCAAATCTAAGAAAGTTTCATGGAGTGCGTTTCAAATAGGAATTGAACTTGACAGAAAGTCATTCACTTCTCACAATAAATTTTGTTGAAGGAGAATGATAAGTCTGACTTGAGCTCGAAGTATTTGAGAAAGCAATGTTCTTGATCAAATTTATGTCTAAAACTGATGAATGGATATTTGGCTTTCATCTGTTTTCTAACCATCAGGCATTCCTTAAGCATACTCAAATTCGTTTGATAGACGCATAGATTGGTGGTGTTAATTCAATTATCTAAATCTCCCCTTTTTTGCTTTGGGTCAAAGCTCGCCCATTATCTTTAGCTTTTTATCTATATACAACATTTTTCTATATATATTATAGCACATACGTATTTTTCGTTACCAGTTTGTTTTGCATTATATTTTTATGTTAAAATTGGTTTAAAACAAACGAGATTGTGTTTCTACGTTATTTAGATGGTGTACTTTGTGTTAAAATCGCTTAACTGGAACACCCCAACTCTCTGTGTTTTGTAACGTGATCTTTATTCCCACTTTTTAAGACTTGTTTATTCTCTTGGATTTTGAATTTTATTTCAGCCCCTATCTATAGGCGTTTATTCTCATATCCCTTGATTTTGAGCCGTTGTTTATTCATTTCCTCTTAAAAAGACCTTACGTTTATTTTCATAATTAAAGCTGAATTTAAATTATAATATCCCTCTGTCACTAACTCGTAATTTTACACTTCAATTGTCTTAAATTTTTCATTATTTCTTGGTAGTTCTCTCTTGCATTTATATATTTCTCATTCCGGAGAAAATTCTCGTTCCCGTGAATGAGTAAGTTAGCTTTTTGCCAATTTCGCACTCAAAAATTGTCTGCTTTCAAAACACTTAGTTTTTTTTGAGCAATGGCCAAGATTATTTTAGTGTATCCTTCTCCGTCTAAGTTAAGTTATTCAAAATTGCTTAACACGATTACCCAACGAATTGAGCAATTTAGCTGGTTTAAATTAACGTTTTGTCAATATTTTTCCTCAGTTTAGAAGAAAAATTGTTAGTGAAATTTATCATTTATTATTGAGTCATAGCAGATGTAAGAACGTATTCGTATCGTAATTGTGTTAGAATTTGCGATTCAATCTTCTGCATGATCGGTTGAATATGCCTCTGCTCAAAACTTCTCAGGAAACAGATTACACTTTATTTCATGTTCCTTCATTTATTACTAAGCTATCTTAATTTATTCTTGTATTGTGCAATTTGTTTAAGGTGATGTAACTTTAGTAACAAATTGCCTTTCAATTGACCCTTATCAAATCTAATTAAGTTAATAGTAGACGGCGAAAACAATGTAAATTATTAATAGTCGAAGTAGAGAACGAACTTCCTAGGCGTCTAACGGTTTAATTGTACGCGCATCAAAACATAAAATTCCTCGGTTAGTATATCTTTTTAACTGTTAATCTTAAGGTACTTAGAATATTCCAATAAGAAGCTCTCTGTTTGCCCTCTCTTTCATCCTCTCATAAATTTTTCCAGGAGTTGCTCTTTACGCTCAATCGACTGAATGCGTAATTAGGGATTTCTGATTGATGTGATTTCCATTCACAGTTGCGGGTTTTTGTTGTTTTCCATGTATCTATGTGGCGTTGCATATATTTGACTGCTTATACGATTTCGAATTGTGTTTCAAATGTCCGAATATCGTTTCCGTGTGATTTTACTTTGTTTTTACTCCTCTGCCCATAACTGATTGCCTCAACAACTCGATAAAAATAGAAAAAAAAATGAACGTCTTTGTTGTTAATGGCCAAGTTGCCTTCTAGGAATTGACATTATGTGCGCACAATTTCACTATTAGCCCATTGGAATAAAAAAAATAATATTTGTAACTAGCACAATTCAATTTAATTTATTTATCCTGGATGAAAGTAAGAAAATATAGATGAAGTAAACATCGGCCGCATAAACAGAAATGGAATTAAACGATATCATCGTTCGTCATGCACTCTTCAGTGCAGACGGATGAATTTTTCCTCTTGAGAACATCTGGTTTGACTGTTTTGGACCGGTATATGTTTATTATTAACCCATTTTTTCCACAACTGAAAGCCCGGAATCTGGAACAGAACTTCGCTATTTGATTTTTAGTTCTACGACAAATTAATCACGTAAATTTCTTAATTGACCACCACCCATAATTTTATTAAACGTTACTGAATGAATTGGTTTCGATTCTAAATGTGATTTTCATTTAGGTGGTTAAAGAACATATCGGTCATCCTATTTCTCAATAAGCAAGATCTTCTCGCAGAAAAAGTCAAATCCGGCAAATCCAAAATCGAGACCTATTTCCCTGCCTATGCAACCTATCAAGCCACAGCTGATGGTAAGTTCCATGAACCTTCTATTAGGGTTTAAAAGCATGCGTTGCTATTTATTGAAATATTAGCCACAGCTGACGCTTAAATTTGAACATTGAATGGGAATATATTAGAAAACGCTATGGTTAACAGTTGTGTTGATGGTCGGTCCACAAAAGCCGATTGTTTACTTGCTGGAAAATAGGAGATTTAAAAGGAATCAAGGTTATCCAATACAAATCCCACAAATAAGGGAATGATTAAGCTGGTTTCTTTAATAGCCCCCTCCCCTCCACGCCCCGTCTTAATTTATTATTTGTAAATTATTAAACTAAGCGCCTTGTTTTCTGTGTATCGGAGATAGGCAGATTGCCAATATGCTTTCCTCATGTTGATTGTTTTGCTCAATTTGTTTTTACTGCCAACCAGAATAACTTTGTTTCAATTTCATTCCTTTGTCAAAGAGATAGGAGGTAGTATCTTTGTGCTTCCCGAAGTGGGTTTTGTTTAAGATTACATTCCAGATCGCAATTAACTCATTGTTGGTGTTATTCTTACAGTCTATATGTTGTAGCGGATTCGGTTGAAATGCTTGCGAATCCATAATGCTTCCTTATATAGAGCTATAAGTGAAATTCGTTTAAGTGTTGGGACCATTTTTTGTTTCTAAATCGGACGTCATTGTTATATAATTATTTGTGCGTGATTTTGGTCATGTGTTATATCACGTTTTTCGAATTGCCATAAATAGCTCCACTCGACCAATAGTCTTTATTGTATTGTAGGGGACACTTCATAAATTTTTGGTTTAATATACCATCCCTTTCGTTTATCATACTGGTATATTCGGAAACGCAAATGCAAACTTCCCGAGTAGAGGTTCTTTCTGACTAAGTTGTGCCGAATCCATTTGTTTGATACAGTTTGTTTGATGTAGTGGGATTGGTGGGATTATTGTTTATTTTAGTTGTTTAAAGGTACTTTCTGTGTTGTTTTGAATGCCTGTTTTGTTGCCCAGTGTTCCTTTAAATACTCCTAAATTATTGACTTATTGGGTTCCGACTTACTTCAGGCTCTTTTCTTTCAATTACTTTTTCTGCTTCCAATTTTGTCACCTTCGAAGCCTACTGTGCTTCCATGTCAACAACCTAGGTATAATTTTCACATACACAAAATATCCATTCTGCCTTCATGCAGACTTGGTAAGTAGGTTGCTAACGAGTTCCATTCAGTGTGATTTTGCTAGCGATTATATAATCTGCTTCTAAAGATAAATTTTCCGTAATTTTTATTTGAAATTTCAATAATTGATCCTATGTTGGCAGATTGTCGACGCGGGAGTCTTCTTGCCTCATTACTAATTTACAGAGACGTGCATTTAAAATACTCTTCTTTTCATAAATACGTTTGGGCAAACGTCTCACTGATTGGTTGTTATTTGCTAATATGCCTAATAAATCACGTCCAGTACTTGCGCGAGTATACATTCATTTTTCACTTACGTATTTTCACACGTGAAGAAATGTTCGTGGAAATGCAGGCAGGCGAGGACTCTAGCAACTGTAGCGCAGTCGTTATGCCCTACACTTTCATTTATTTAGTTTGTTATGCTGTCTGCACCCATGCTTACTGGCTGGCAGGCACTGTGACGTTTTTGTATAATGTGGGGCTTTCTTTTTTGGTTTGCAATTTTAACCGTCGATAAGCCAAGTAGGATCGTGAAACCTTCCTTTCGAGAAATTCGATTTCTGTAAATCTCGTATTGACTTTTATTTGTCACTGGGTATGCATCAATGGGAATCGAATTTTGCAGACGAACTCATTGGCTATTGCTTTGTTTGTGAATGCTCTTCTTATTCACTTTGCGCATAATGTGTATCTGTCTAGTCAAAGATCATGGTTTCGATAATGATCAACGCTAATCCATTGGAGGAAATTAGGAAATAGGTGGGTGCTAGTGATAGTTTGATCTTGAATGGAATCATTAATCTCAAGAAGTTCACAATGAAGAATTTCGTGGTTTTATAGTTAAACTTCATAGGGTTCATAGTTGAAAAATAGGCTTATAGTGAAGTGCGTGGGTAGTTTTATTGATTGAGTAGTACGTATATCTATGTTACAATGTAGTACGCTTGTCACGGTATCGGAGTTTTTAATGCATGGAGTGGCTAATCATCCATATCAAGTGCCTTTGAATAGTACATCCTCAAATACAGACTTTGGTTTACTTAGACATCGCCTCTTTTGATGCTGATAGCTTTATTTAATGCATCGCAAAAATATGCTTTGGAAATCCCTCTGTAGCTGACGTACTGGCTCTTTCTAAAAATTCCGATGAAGTTCACCCATCTACAAGTATTCAACTTTTAAATTTACATAACAATTTTCCTATTTTTAGTCCTCGCAGAGTACAGTGAAGAGGATCCAGAAATTGTCCGGGCGAAGTTCTTCTTCCGCGATGAATTTTTGGTGAGTTATTCTCTATCTCGATCTCTTTTAGCACCTGAACCCTAGTTGTGAATTTCATAGTTTATGAGGTACTCTTAAGTCTTCTCTCTCTTTCTCTATGGTGTTAATGCACACTTTAGAAAATGCACAGGACTTAAAGTATCTACAGCATAAGCTCTGTCTTTTTGTGTGCATAGGCTACATTCATATATATGTATGTTAAATTAACAGGCTTAAAGTATGCATATGCGGTTGCATCGTCTCCTCTTTCAACTCTTATTGGTCCCTTTCAATGACGCAGTAACATTGCAACACTTAATTGGTTTGGCTTGGGGCATGTGCGCACGTGTAAGTGCGTGCATGTGCTTGCTTCAACCAATGAGAAGAGGCATTCGTTTTATTGCGTCACGTGAGGGCGGCTGTCAACTTTTAATGGTGGAAATCAGTTACGTTTAAGAATTTTATGGACATTTCCCTCCAGCTCTTCTGGCAATTTTTGTAGTAGTCATTCGCTGATTCAAGGCCTCCCAAAGAGTGAGGGTAATTGGGGGACGAGTGGAAATGGGGAGTCATAAACGCACACGGAATTTTGCTTAGGAGGAGAGTGCCAAATTGAGCTGGTTGCTTATTATAGTGGCTATGGCAACGACACCATGACCAAATGCCATACATTCGGGCAGCATAATATCTAATTAAAGTTATATGTTACTGCTCTTGACGTTGGTATAGCAACCGCTGTATGAGGTATTTCTGCTTACTCAGAAATTTTGGACGAATCTGCTATTTTATTGAAATCTATACGGTGTTCACTTCCTTGACTTTGTGAATATGTTGCAAATAAATAAGGCCATGATTTATTTTGGCAAATGCTTATCTTAAATTAGCCAAAGCTTAGTATTGGTACACGTTTCTATTTTTAGTTCCACTCTCAATATGCTAATTTTAAGTTCTTAGAAAAATTTCGAATATATCAACCAAAATTTTAAGCCATATTTGATCTTAAAAATGATAAACTAATTCATATCAGTACTGCGCGCTGTGTTCCTTACAATATTGCAATTGTCATTTGCTTTAAGGTGGACCGGAAGTTGGTACTTTTTGACCTCAAATCTTAGTTTAAAAGCATTAATTTTTATTAGAGCTTTGCTTTGACGATTGTTTATTGACCTAAGGTCAAAGGTTAAAATCCACATTCCTCCCTGTTAATGATGAGCCTCGCAAACTAGGTTTAATTTTTCTATTGAATTGGTCTTAATGGATTCGCCTAGAACTGTTCGAGTTTAAAAATCAAGGAATATGGCCGCTTTCACATTCAAAACTTCTTGTATTGTTCATTTCGCTCTTCTATTTAGTTTTTGCGAATCTTTTCTATGTATTTTTTTCTGGGGAAAAACTGTCATGATAAAACGTTTGTTCAAATGACCTTGGTCAATTTTTTTCAAATCTTTTATACTCCGCACTGAAATGACTAAACTTATGCACCCGGAACATTGATTTGGAGCGTTTTTAAAATAGAAATATATTTTCGTAATAAAGTTGATCGATTTCCTAACCTCTTTTATACACTTCTCAATAATGGAGATTTCCTCATTCCAACTTCAGTTTTTTGAACTCCGTTTTCTCCTAATTAGGTCCAGATTGATTCGGAACTGAAATTGTTCAAAAGGTTAAAGTATCATATTTTTTCCATTATAGTTGTTTTTAATTTTTTTTCTAAAGGCCGCTTGTAACATTTAATTTTTATATTATATGTGTATTTATTCGAAAATTAATTTTCTTTAGTTTTCTTGCCTATATTCGTTTTGCAAACAATCTGTAAATTAGTCTGCGTTAAAAGCGATCCAACATTCGTTATTCTGTGTTGCTTGCTAATTTCAAATTCTAAAATTTATATCATTCCTTAATTTTGGGCATATTCCAATATGAATGGAATGCGGTGCTTTGTGTGTTTGTAAGAGCATCTAGTGGTGCATTCTGATTTATATTTTAGCTTTTAAATTTAACCTCCACACACAGTAGGGTATTGGGACGCGCGGATATGTTTTTTCAATTTGCAATTTGAGATAAATCCAATTTCATCTACCCCCCCCC